CCTTAAAAAAAATAAAGATAAAAACGGGATTAGGCATTTTGGAACTAAATAAATAGCATGAGAACTTAAATATTATCTAACTATTTATTAATAACTATTTATTAATAAATAGGCCTTTAACAATTGATCATTCTTTATAGTTTATCCCACTCTCACATAATGTGATTGTTAGAAATGAATTGAAATATTCTCTCTCCTCTTCATCACTTCGAGAAAACACAAAACCCAGGACACAGTCTCTCTCTCTCTCTCTCTCCCCTTCATCACTCGACACTCATCAGTGGAATTATTCTTTGTGCCGATCCTTCAGCTTGAAATCCGGTGGAACCCTTTTTGGAATTAGGCGCTGGAGATACAATTACTTCTCGAGATTTCGCAATTTTAGTAATTTTATCATAATGATATGTTCCTTTTTGGGCATGGCAGGAGGACTCCCGATTGTTCATCTCCGGTCTATCTTCCTGCCTGGGCCCGTCTTTGACTGGGCTTCAAAGGCAGTGTGGCTGAGAATTCACGTGGGAGTGCCGTATGCGATGCGTTTCGACCACGCGTCGCGCCTTAAGCTGCATTTTAGAACACTGACAATAACACATGCTCACAACAAAATGTTTTGCATGTAAATCTAAAATTTTTTCCTATTTTTTCATCACATATTCTAAAAAAAGTCGCTATTTCAAAACTGTATTAATAGTTTCAAATTGGATCTTAAACCATTAGTCACTACATCCAATTCCGTTAGCGTAAAGTAAGGAATTATGATACTTAGATCATTAGTCACTATATCCACTTCCTTTTAGATAACGTAAAGAATTATAATACTTAAATAGTCGCTAAATCCACTTCCATTAGCATAAAGTATTGAATTATGATACTCAAACCATTAATCACTACATCCACTTCCGTTAGCATAGAGTAAAGAATTATGATACTTAAACCATTAGTCAATCCACTTTTCCTGAGCATAAAGCAAAGAATTAAGATACTTAAATCATTAGTCACTGCATCCACTTTAGTTGGCATAAAGTAACGAATCTGATGACATTGCAATCGAAGATTTTAACTGTCCAGGGTGTATTTAATTGAGACTTTTAAAGTTTTTTTTGGGATTTATTAAGTTTTAAAATATTCAATGTAAAATATTTGACTCTCTAAAAGTCACGGTGTATTCAATTAAATTTTTTTAGAAACCTCTATAAATTTTGATGTATTCAAAATATTAATGACTTTTAAAGATTTTCAAAAAAATTCTTTGGATTACTAATTTTTTTAGAAAAAGTACAAAAATAAAATCTCAAAATTTATCTTCACCCCCAAGATTTTGGGAGACTTGTACAAATAACTTTTTTTTATAATTATTTTTTATTCTTTTAAAATTTCTCTTTCTTTTACCTTCTACCAACCTTAGAGCCATGATTAAAAAATATTGTTTTTTCTTCTACTAATTATATTTATTTCTATTTTCATTTTCTCTCTCTTTTTTATTTTCTCTCTCGATTTTCTATGGAAAATATTAAATTGTACTTAAAAATTATAACATTTTTCTTCTTTTTTTCATCTATTTTTTATGAAAAAGGATAAAATTTATAATTAAATTTATAAAATTTTATTTAAAATTATAATAATTCATTATTAACGTTTAAATATATTGATTGGTTATTTACTTTTTAAAGGTATGGCATAATGATAATAAAAAAAAATTTCTTTTTCTTTTATCAAAGAATACTAAAATTTATATATATTTACGTATTTTGATTATTTATTTGTTTAATTAAGGTGACTTGAGATTTTTTATTCTTTTAAAAGTATTTTTTATTACTTGCGGGGAAAAGGAATGGTGGAGGTCGAACCTCCACTTCCTATGTGAGAACTTCCGCTTTCGCAATCTACCGACGTGAATTCTATTTTAAATGAAAGTCTTCGAAAATCTTATGAATTATATAAAAGTCTATTAAAGTCTACGAAATACTTTCATTAACTCCATACAAATCTATAAAAATCTACGAATTTAACAAAAGTCCATCACTTTAAAGAGTCTATAAAAATCTATAAAAGTCCCAATTAAATACACCCCTTAGTCTCCCCCAAAAAAAAGTCATAATTAAAAAGTTATGAAAATAATTGTGTCCACTACTGATGTAGGGGAAGCTTATAGGAAAGACAAAAAATCTCACAAAAAAGAATTTCAATCAAGAGAAATTCAAGAAAAACTTTATTTCATTCAAAACTGAGCTGCCTCCAAAGGCTTACAACGTTTAAATAGCGAAACCCTAATAAAATTCGGAAAGAAATTACATAATAATAAAAAATATTA